ACCGCCGCCGCGGCAGCAGCGCATCCGCCGCCGCTTCGCGGAGAGCCTTCGACCCAAACTGCAGCGACGCAGCCGGGCTCGCCAAAGAGGCGCTCTGCACAGGCCCTCGGGCTGCCTCAGTAGTCCCGGCCCCACCACAAAAATCTTCTCTGCGAGAAGAGCCGCACACAACAAAGCGGAACGCGGGTGCGCTCAGTGAGCGCTATCACAAATTATGGATGCGTATCCACTTCATTATCAACAATAACAATTCACCTGATGTACTGCTTTTCAGCTAAGGGCTGCAGCGTGCTTTCTGCACTCATCTGTGGATTAAGCTGTTAACAGGAGGCTGAGAAGTTAAAGAGGGAATATTGTATTTCAGTTCATGTGATCTTTAAGCATCTCCCCAAGAAGCAGCCTCGTTTTTGGGGTTTTTTTTTTTTCCTCTGCACTTTGTTTAGGGTTTTTAAACAAATCGAAACCAGAAGAGTCAAACCGCTCCTCACGCTTCCAGGCTTGCCGAGGGGACTCCCCAGCCCCTCCGCGACGCCCTCAGTAGAACCTATACGGCTGGCACAAACCAGCTACAATCGGCTTTACCCCTTTGAGTTACAGAGAGTTGCACAAAATGGATTAAGGGGGCCCAGAAATCACCTATTTTGAGTCACTGTAAAATAAACCCACTTTTTTGATTAAAAGGAAAAGGAGGTGGCAGGAGAAAGGCGCGCATCAAGTGAAAAACCCTGATTTTTTTCTGTAGCAATGCAGTTACCACGTGAATCATGATTGTCCTCGATATGTAAATAGAGGTTAGCAGGCATCCTCAGCACAATCCCATTTAATTAAGAGACCAATGCAAATACTCATGTTAAACCTTCACCACGCACCTCCCAAAGAGCCTTCCTGATGATTCCTCCACTGGGGAGGACGGGATCAGCCGGCACCCGCATGCACCTCGCTGTGCCGTTCTGTAAGCCTGCTGCAAAAGGAAAGATAGGGGAGGAGCACGGCGAGAGAGGAGCAAAGATAGTGAGGAAGAGCCAGAGTTCTTCAAGATTTCCACGAAGGAAATGGATAATATTCATGATCTC